CAAGCGTCATATTTACCTACTATCCTATTCTGCTCTTGTTCGTCATCCATCTCGGTATTTTCGCTGGAATCGACAGCTGCAACGTGCAAAATAGGACGCGATATACTATCAAATGCGATCCGAATTTCCTCTTACGGTATCTCTCTTCGCAATCGCTGTCGCGCGCGAGCGCGAAAGAGAGGGTACGAGGGATAGAAGCAGCGGATATATATGCGAACGACTTATCTTTATTACTTACGAGCTCCTTCGGTGTGAAAGCGCAGTATCTCCGACGGATGGCTCCATCCGTAACGATTTCTGGACAAAACGACCGCTTCGTAATGGGTCGCCGCGTCCAATCCCGTCAGGTTGAAGGAGCGAACATGCACCGGGCTGATGATGTCGTTGCCACCAGCGGGAATATACAATTTGTGCCATTCGCTCCCAGCACCTCTCTACGAGACACATAAAAAAATAGACTCGGAACGATCATATTAAAATTGATCTTTAAAGAACAGAGGAACGTAAGTCTTTTCAGAATAATCCGTTTGATATAATATTAATGCTGTACTATATTGTTGTATAATTATAAGAATTATTATACAAGAATGCGAAACAATTTACAGCCAGTCGAGTAGTGAAAACAAAATGATTACATTTTTATTTTCTTACTGGCTGTACATTTAAATTAAATTAATTTTATTACGACTTCTTTTGACATCAATAAAACTCACATTACAATCCCGACATATTCGCACGTTTTCTGTAAATTATGTCGAGGCGATTCGGGGAAAAGCACGGTAAGATGAGGGAAATGAATCACTCCCCAAAGAGAGAAAAAATACTGATTGATAAAGCAGCTCTCAATCTTCGTAGAGCGCGTCGAGAGAGAGAGAAAACAATTTTGTTGCTTCAATATTCTGCATTTCGTTTTGCTTCCGACGTCTCTTTTTCCCCTTATTGCGGATTCACGAACCGGTTAAAGCAAGAAACGTATTTTATAACCGAAGATTCTAGTAATGAGCCACCCGGGCATTGCCTTTTGTTCAATTACTCCTGCGACCCTTGCATGCGCGGCGGCTATCAGACCCGTAACGCGAGCGACGCACGAAACCGTGGACTCGAATCCCACGTCTCAGGAGAGACGAGACGAGACGTCGATTTAGTTCACGCCGATTTTTCCCGAGATTTCGCGTGACACGCGGCTGTATATCCTCTCTATCGATTTAACGATTTCTATCTATGACCGAGAATCACCCTCTCACCCTATATTTGCGAAACCAAAACTGGTACTCGATGATGGGACTGTAACTGTCGACCTCCCAGATGAAGTTGTACGACGCGCTGGACGTGCTGCGCGACTCCTTCTTGAACACCGCCGGATTCGCGACTCCCGACAGCTCGACGATCTTCTCGGTGATTCCCAAGGAGTTCGACGCTCGGCAGAGATAGGAACCGTAATCGGCTGTCCTTACCACCCTTATCAATAGACTGTGATCGTTCCCGGCGTTATGTTTCACTACCCGCGACGTGTACCTTAATGTCTCGTTGTTAAAATACCATTCAACCTGAAAAAATAAAACAGACGCATATGAGACTCCCATAATCTGTCGGAGTCTCGAGACATTAATTTTTACAACTTCTCGTTACACGAGATCGCTATAACGTTATCCCGCTCGGATCGATTACCAAGTGGTAACGTAATTCTCCCTGACCCGCTCGGTTCTTTTTTTTTTGCGAGGAAATAGAAAAAAAGGTACGGTAAGTCACGTCCCCTACGAATCGATTTGTCACGTGCGACTGGCTTTAAGGGATCACGGTGAGAAATTGCTTGGCAGATAGGAGGGGCGGTTTCATTTAGTTACCGAGCGTGAAGAACTCGTTGAAATCTAAAAGACGAGTAACACGCCGTAACGTCAGAAAAATATTTCGTATTTGTATTGGACGTCGAGACCCCGGCCGATCGATCGTATCGTATCGGATGCTTCGTTATCGTGTGACATATAAGAGGGACAATTTTACTCGCACCTAAGTTTCGGTGCGGGAGCGTGAAAATTTATTTTTACAATATATTACGCGGGGAAACCCTGTCGCACCCCTGTTTCATCTTTCAAAGTATTTTACGTTGTTTTGCGATTAATAAGGGTGCGGAGATTATTCGACCGGGACAAGTAAATCACGTGGACACAATTTCGCATTGGCCTCGAAAGAAACCAGCGAGAAAAAAGGGAGGGGAAAAAGAGGGAGAGAAATACGAGATTTTTATTCCTGCAGAAATAAATTCCACTCGCGCGTCTGTTTTTCGACTTGCTTATTTCTTGTGGAAAATCCTGATTTAAGGGCTTCAGAAGTAAGTATATATATATCGAGGAAACGTCTACAGCCGTTTCCAGTGCGAAGTCCGCTCGCACACTTGCGATGCAATTAAAAGTCTGATTAGGTGCCACGAAGTGACTTGCGCGCGTTCTTAGCAAGTTGCGCCGTTAATTATTGCTCGAACCGTTAATTAACGCGCAATCACGCACCGTTGACAGTCTTACAGTAAAGGCAGCACCTCACCTTTGCCTCGGGCCAGGCGGTCACCGTGCAATCCAGTTGTACTCGTATCCCCGGATACGCGTGCACCCACGGTTTCTTCACGTGGATCTCCGGCTTATCTGCGTTTTTTTTTTTGCATAGGTACTTAGTGCAGTGTTGAAAGAGAAAAGTCTCGATTGCGATTAATATATGCTCGAGTTAATTGCTTCAGGGCGATTTCGGCCGAACTCCGATTAACTCGATCGGCGATTAATTCAACCGGCAGAATCGCTTCAAGCAAAATTTCAACGCTATTAAATTCGTAATTTCAAATTATACTGAAGTTGAATAATTTTTAACCATTCCTGTAAGTCGCCACTGCTCTTACTCTTATGTCGTTGATTTAACTAAAACGATGTGAATTTAACTAAACCAACGAAATTAAAATAACACTGTTTTGCGTTAAAGTAATAAATTTCAATACACACGTAGTAGTTGAAAATAACAAAATATTATTTAACTCGGGATAATGGTTTAAATTTCATTCCTTAATATTTAACAGTGAAGCTAAATAATTCGTTTCTGACTTAATCTTTCTTCTCGTAGGTTAAACAAGAAATTAATTCTATCCACGTTTAACAAAATAGAACAGGTACCGTTTGATAAGTTAAGGAGTTTACCAGAGTTTAGTCGAAGTCACCCTTAGCCATTTAATCACACATTAAAGCGCACACGCACACACACACATACATATACGATCGTGTTGTTTATGTCTTTAAAGCAGCACTTCTGAAATGCACGTAAGACCTGCGTTTGATGTCGCAAAAGCGAAAGGATATTGTTCGCGCACCGCGAAGGTTGATTAACATCTGCAAAACACTCGTTGTAACCGTACAATCAGCATAATTGACTCCGCTCATGCGTTTGATTGGAATACTAAAGGGAGCAATCTGCGGCAATTTCTTAATTGTGCTGCTACGTGGCGCGAGGAGTATAGGGCGCGATTTGCATGATCGTCTCGGTATACGGGGCGGGTCGTAATTAAACTCGATTAATCGCGGGCGCTCCCGAAACGACTTACACATCGCAAAGCCCGTGATACAGTTAATAATTGAGTAACACATGCGGGGTGTGCCGTGTCTAGCGCGAGATTAGATGCAGACGCTCTCGAACGGGGGGGGATAAACCGAAAACTCACATCTAATACGTAGGTCTACGTGCGCCTCCGCGGGATCGCCGATTCCGTTTTCGGCGACGCAGGTGTACCTGCCGGATAGATTCCGATTGTCGGCGTGAAATCTCAATTGCGGTCGAGCGTCCAATAATGGGATTTCCCCGTCCTGCGAAGAAGAAGAAGAAGAAGAAGACGTTTATTAAAAATCTCGCGGGCGGACATCCGCGTTATACGTTCGTTTTCTTTTCTTTCTTTTTTCATCCCCCAGGGTTTCCTCCCTCGTCAGCGAAACGTTTCCCACCATCGCACTTTGACGCGCGGATCGCGTAATATCGTTGGCATAGGCAATGGTATATCGAATAGCCCAGAAATATCGATTACCTTCGTCCTCCAACTTATGATGGGGGCCGGGACACCCTTCGTCACGCATTGCATTTCCACCCTCTCCCCGAGATTGACCTCCAGCTCGCCGGTCGCCGGCACCGTCTCCGCGCTGGGTGGATCTGAGCGGAATGGAGCGCGAAATAACGAACAAATAAATTTCTCCGCCGTTGTACGCGTATAAACTGACTTTACACGTCGTTTACACGGCTCATGCAAAATTCAGATCTCCGCCTCGGCGGGCGAGGCGGGCTCTCAGCGGGGTCTTCTCTGAAGAGAAGTCAAACGGTTGGGAAGCGGTCGTAGATAAGGCCGCGCTCGCACGAAGACGGATAGACGCGTCTCAGTTCGGATTCGCAAACGCAAACGCGAGAAGGACTCCTCGAGAATCCCTTTCGCCGCGTCGCGTCGCGTCGATCCGCCTCGGTGTACAAGAGACGGATTATCCTTCGGGACTCGGGACGCCACGCGCGGGGGACGCTTATCGCGGGGGTATATATATATACGTTGGCTAGGAGGGTATACTCACACATCACTTCGATCTCGTGTACTTGCGTGACGTGTCCCCAGGGAGACGGTCGGATCGCCTGGCACACATACTCCCCGCTGTCCTCCCGCTGCACGTGAAGGACCCGCAGGCTGCCGTTGCTATACAGGGTGACTCGCTCGGGCGACGGCCGCTCCTGCTCGAAGCTGTCGGCCAGGAGGACCTCCTCTCGCCACCATCTTACCCTAGTTTGCGCGCCTACGCGCGGAAAGAAATAACAAGCTTTTTCCGTGCATTTGAACTCTGAGATCACCCCGTCTCTCCCCTCCCTCCCCCGTCCGCATTGTTACCGAGCCTAAAGACCGACATTCGGACCCGACACACGTAGTACTTTTACTACCTACTAACGAGGGGTTTACTAACAAGAAAGGAACCTCGGTGGAGCTCGCTTTTCTTTCTCTCTTGCTTTTCAAACAACGTGTATTATTCGTGCAGAGAGACGTACGAAAGAAGAGAGGAAGAAAGGTACATGCAAATACATCATAAATAGCAACGTTCGTCTTAATGAAGCGGGGCTTTAACAAGACTCATGACGACTCATTTATAACGACTATCCCGGCGATACAAAAGCGCAGCTCGCGGCAGCTGGCGCGCAGAAATACACACCCTTTTCCACGTTACCCACTTTATCCTAATTCTGCACGCCCGTATAGGTAGGAACAACGACGTTTTCAAAAGACACCCTCGGCGTTCGTTATCGCGTGTGGGCCGCGATTGCGGTCCGGGCCTGTGGAGTGTCGGGCAATTTCGTAAATGGCAGTAATTCCACACGTGCGCGCGTACGGAATACGTATACTGACGTAGGTATACTCGACGAAAGCGGACCGGGGGGGCTAAAGCGGGCGCGATTAATCATTTCGGGAAGACGAAGAAACGCAAGGAACATAATCGATCGTTTATAACAAACGACATACCCTCCACGTAGCAAGGCAGCAAAACCGTTTCGTTCTCGTAGGTTTTCACCGTCATTGAGTGGTCGCGGTTTGTCGCAGCGTAAGCGCCTGTAATAATATACACACGTATATACAGATACACATATACTCACGAATATAATATAATAATAACTAAATTGTCATTTAACGACGTCGCAAGCGCCAAGGCGATCGCCGCATTGCGAAATCGCGTTCGCGCCTCCGCGTGCGCCTTAATCGTCCTGTTTTTCTCTCTTTACGATTCCCGACACGAAAAATTCTCCCCTTCTGCGTTATTATCTCGCACGCGCGCAGTGACCGCGCGGAAATTTATTTCCGCAGACCTCGAGCATGCACGCGCGAGAGATCCATTTCTTTCTTTATGATCGATCGCGCCGTAAGTACGGCGCCCCGCGTCCCGCCGTGCTTGCATAGCACGCGGGCGGTGCGGGTCAGTTCTTGCGAAAGCGAAACTACAGCGCAATTATCCCTTCGCTCGCACGCACGCACTTAAGGGGAGCGCGTACGTGGGGAGGAGGCTCGGATGAATCGATTGCCGAAGTTGCGTGCGCCCAGGGTGGGCGAGCAAACGAGGCACAGTTTCACGTGCGTCCCACCACCCTCCCGGCTTTCCCTCTCGAAAAAATCGATCCACATACGGAAATACGGCTATAATTACGCCGCGCGCCGCCGGCGTATGTAAGGAGAGATATTTCAGTCCGATTAACCCGCGCGCGCCGCGTTCGACCGCGTATACGAGAAAACTGGGTTGCCCGAACGCGTGCTCCCGGGTTATCGCGACGATTATCTAAAGTGGGAAAACAATAAAGTAAAAATTGAATCAATCATTCGCGTAAGTGCCGCCGCATTCGCGGAGGCCGTGCCCGCGTATAGCAAGGAGGGAGCTTTTAAGAAATGAATATTTCCTCGTCTCTCTCAGGGATCTCCGTAACGCGCCCGCGCGATTCATTTTTCCTCCCTCTTAATCCGCTTGCAAATTTCTGAAACTCCGAAAATTTTAACGGCTCGAAAACGTCAGCGAAAAACCCCCCCCGAGCGAAAGATAGCCGGAGCAAAGAGGCCGCGCGTTCTAGTTTTTTTTTTATCGCTCTTGGGACTCAATTCCTCGAGCACGAGTATACGAAGCGCGTGCGAGAATAACGAAACGTTACGGTGTCCGAAACTTATATAATTTATGAACGACATTCTGACTATTTTCCGACATCATTTCCTCTTTAAAACGACACGACATTTTCTACATGACTTCTACCTTCAGGGCAAATGTTCTCACAGTCCCGATAATCACCAGCACATATCTCATACGATACCTGTTATACAGACGTGAAGTATCCAAATGAGGAGCACCATCTTTCAGAAATAATTACACCGCGCGTTACACCGAAATTGTCCACGCGAAAAATTTCGTATCGAGATCGCACCGAAAAAAATACGCTCTTTCGTCGTGCACGTGACTCTCTCGGTCCTCCACGAGGCACTGATGGTCCCGCTTTAAGATGTGATTCGAGTCCCGCGCGCGATCTTAAACACACGCGCACGCACCGACACGCACACGCACATGTGTATCATCGCACGTAATTATGACCACTTGTCCATCGCGCACGAATCAAAAGGTACTCATGCCGCATACGGCAAGTCCGTGCCGGCCGAAAAAGTGACTCTTTCTCATTAATTACGTTCCGTCCGAGTGCCAATTATAATATTTATGAGCGTTGCAGCGAACAGACAATTGTTACTGTTATAAAAAAAAAGTAATAAATGTAGAGAAATTATCTTTTGTTAAAAATATAAAATGTACCGATAAATAAAAATGTTCACGCGCTACGCGCGATTGAAATGAATTGAATTGAATTAAATCGATTTGCTTGAAATACTTTTAATGAAACAATCGGGACAATTATATACGCAGCATCGAACGACGGTTCACGTTGAACTGGCGCTTCTCCGAACGAGAGCGCAAGATTTGAGAACCACCGTCTTCTGTTGCAAAGCCGCTGCGCTGCGCTATAGGGGCAGGCATAGGGTGTCCACCCACGAAGACCAAAGGCATTCTTCTATAATTTGTTCAATTTACGCACGGTCACACACCGTGTATAGAGCCATTCGCCGGAGTTACCCATTAGACCGTTAATCCAATAAGCGATTCGCCGCTTCAACGCTTCTTAGATCATTGCGACGGCTTCCGTCGCGTGTCCCCTCTTTTATAAATATATTATAAATGAAAAAAACCAAATGAAAGTAGCCGCCAGCCTCGAATATCGCTGATGTAATTCTGTCAGTTTTACGTTTTTTTCGCCATTTCAATTATTTCCGCTCTCACAATCGATTTCATTTAAAAATGAAACTTAAAAGTCCACGTAGCGCGTTATATCTCATATATACATATATATCTTCATGCTGACGCGAAAAAGTACGCGTTCTCATTTATTATTACTGAATTATTTCCCGGACGAACCGTTTACCCCCGAGGCAGAAGTAGCAATAAACGGTTAACACTTTATCGCCGGCTTTTAACTCTTTCCCCCCCCCCCCGGACGTCCATCGCTGGATATCTACAATTCAAAAATCTGAATACTTTATGGTGCATGGTGCGCTGTAAAAAACCTTTATGCATAAACGCGCAAGCCGATCTTTTCACGGGCGTCTGCACGCCTGATTCATTCGATCAGCTTTGGCTCTCTCCTCGTTTGCGAGTGAAAAGAGACGAGCTGGCAGCTTGCCGGATGTGCTATAAATAATTGTACGCTACTACATATCAAAGTATCGCGCGAGTAATAAGTAAACAAATATTATGTGTCACAAACAGTCGCTAAATTAAAGATTAGTAATCTTATATCTTCACATTTTTAATTTAATTCGAATAAACGCGCACAGATATTTTATTTCACTAGATTTAACGCTACAGAAAAAAGAACATTGTACATTGACATTTTTGTTTCACTCGACACGTTCTTCAAAGCGGAATCTCATTTCGGCGATCTCGTCTCGCACGAGTAATTAAGTGCTCGGAAAAATGTGTAGACGACACCGTGCCGTGCTCGAGGATGTCCAGGCCTCCTCGGTTCTAACGGCGGGGACGAAGGACGAGAGATTACGAAGGAAAAGTAATCCTCCTCGAGCTGCGCGCCCGCTGTGTTCGTGCGAATCTATGTGAATATACTTAATCCAAGTCGAGAGAAGAAGGTGCTCGAAAGCGGTTCTCAATTATCTGATGCATCCATTAAAGCGCCGACGAAGATCCTCCTTTAAATGGATTTCCGAAGAAATCTGCCGGGACAGCCGAGCTTTCGGCGAGCTCTCTCTGAATCGTGATGGATCACCGATTTATTTTTCCCTCGTCTCACGTCGCGGAGCCGACTCTTGACTCGCCCTTATAACGCGTATTCGTAAGACTGCGATACCTTCGAGTGTCGCGTCGAGAATTTCTCGTGATTTATATTCGAGCGAAAATCCTTGGCGAAGAAAAATATATATAAATTATTATAGAATTTACTCGCTCTCTGTATCTGCTTGATTATACATTCGCGCGTGTCTTCCGATGTAATGATTAAATAATTTAATTTATTAATTTTCATTCGCACGGCAAACAAAAACATTTGAAAAGATATTCGAATGCATTTTTTAGAAAATGACGAGTTCGATAGGTGACAGGGCGAGAAGTTGAAAGGGGACGATCTCTGAATGTTCTTTTGCCATTGCTCACGCGACAAAGAAAATTACGTGGCAGTCGCGTATTCACGCCGCGCTAGCTAAAAAGTTGTGGCTTAATTGGCAGTAATTCACCGAAGTACCGGTCTCGCCGTTCCGATGATCGTGCCTTCCTCCCCGGTTAAATTGTGTTTACGGTGATCTCATAAGGCGGTATCCACCGAGAGCGGAAGTGAGAGGTCGCGGTTAGTATTTCTCTTGAAAACTTTATTTCTCGCGTTAATTGTCGGTCGTCTTGGCGCGTTCATTGGTTATACTTCATTCTTTTCATTTTTCCAGAGAAGAACTATTCTTACAAATTATCTGCACAAGTTTCTTAAAGTATAGCTTACAGCTAGGAATACGAACTGAAGCTTTACGTTACATTGAAGTGCTATGCATTAGCAAATAGTATGTTTATATATAGTGAAAACGAATCTATAAGCAATATAATACATATACAGAGTAAGAGTTAGAGAATAGAATTAAATTCGCAGTTTACAAATAGTTTCGATTTACGCTGTATGTACAAAATTAATGTATATAATGCATATAAATTATGTATATTCATATATCTATATATATATATGTATAGATTATAAATAATACTTTTCTAGCGTCTAACTTCTCTTTATCATCTTTCATTTTTCAATAACTTCCTGAAAGCTAGCGTCAGTGTTAGAAAATATAAGAACGTATATGGGCAAGAAAATAAAATGAATAATGCGATAATAATTTTAATCCTTTTCTCGTTCGTTATAGCACAAATGTGTTGTTAGGCCAAACGTTCTGTATCTTACAGCCATGGGTGCCACGAGCGATCCATTCTGCAGAGATTGTCCCGCCGATTAAGATACCAGCGGGCACGCGACCGTCCCCGACCATGTCCTCGGCGATGCGCGTGGCGATGAGCTGAAAATGAAATTTACAAAAATAATGCATAAATAGAATACTCAAAAACGCGAGCGCGCATGTGTGTGTGCGTGTGTGTGTGTGTGTGTGTGT